TTCATTGAAAAAAAAATTTTCAAACAAAAAAAATACTTTAAGGAAAAGTTGAAAGTATCAATTTCCTTGAAAATAAAAATTTTAAAAAAATATTTTAAGAAAAAGTTGAAAGTATTAATTTTCCTTAAAAACGAAAATTTCAAAAAAAATTATATTTGAAGAAAAGTTGAAAGTATCAATTTTTCTTGAAAATAAAAATTTCAAAAAAGATGTTTTAAGGAAAAGTTGAAAGTAATAATTTTCCTTAAAAATAAAATTTTCAAAAAAATATTTTTGAGAAAAAGTTAAAAGTATCAATTTTCCTTAAAAATAAAAATTTCAAAAAAAACATTTTTAGGAAAAGTTGAAAGCATCAATTTTCCTTAAAGATGAAATTTTTAAAAAACATTTTTTAAGAAAAAATTGAAAGTATCAATTTTTCTAAAATAAAGGCATGAATTCTTTTTTAAAAAAACAAAAAAAAATAAGAAATGCAATCTCCATAAAAAGGTTGAAGTATTATTTTTTTCTTTTTTCTTTCTTGAAATTCTTTTCTAATGTTATATAATCAATGACAAAGCATTTAAAAAAAATAATAGTTTTCTTATATACTCTTGAGGTGAAGGTATATTTTTAATTTTTTCCCAAAAGTATTGGAGTCAATTAAGAATAATTTTTAATAATTAATTACTTAGTAAGATTTTTAAGGCTTAATGGATAACATGAAATCGAGTTGGTACCATCTTTTGATGGACATTATGGGGGTGCTATAACCTTTCTTACACGTAATCACGCTCTCAAACCTAGTTTTGGTTTCGTAGGCATTGAATCTACCTTTTAAATATGCTTGAGTTAGACTTAAAAATTTTTTTAAAAAAGAAACATATTTAGTTAGATGGTCAATCGCACTTAAATAAAAAAGATTTGTGGAAACTCTTAAGTCAATGTCTGGCGATAAGTTTATAAATCTAGATGTTATGACAATTGGTGGATTAATTATGATTGTTTATTTGATGAAAATAACATATGAATTATAATGCTTAATGTATTTGATGTAGGTATGGATTTATGAGGACTTTTCAACACTGAGTCTAGTAACTAACATGGCATATTATGATTCTAAGTCTCGTGTTCGATAGTGGAAGCCTTGTATTTATGTTGATCTATTATAGTAATTATAGGAGTAGCTGGATACCTTGCCTTCATCTTGGGTGCATTGGAACCCTTATAAGAGACAAAAACAACATCACCCATTACCTAAGATTGCTTATATTTTTGGATGTATGAAATGTAAGGCTATCATAGAGTCATATCATCTAAAGAAGGTTCTACGATAGTTTGGCTACATGCAAACCATTCCTCCCACTTTTGTGGCCTCGACTCGAGTCGATTGAGGTGCATCCTCCAACATGTATGATGTGGATTGAAAGTGCTGGAATATGCAGGTTTAGCCTGATGATCATCAAGGGCACCAATGTTGTATATTGGATGAGTCTTTATCAGATTATAATGCTTGCTATTATTCAATTTCACACCGATATAATCAGAATCTGGTGCATTGATTCGAATTTCAATCTCAACCAATCAATAGTAGGCCTATTAAAGATATAATAAATCATAACTTTAGTAATTATTACTTATTTAATATTAATTATATGTTATCGATGTTGATTTTCTTGTTAATATTTTGTAATAAAGCTCAATAGTATTATCTATTCTTGAGGATGTATTATTCAATGGATTACATCAGAGTCAATGTATGGAGAGACACAGTTATTAAAGTATATGCTATATTGTTTGGGTCATCAAGCTAGTAACAGTCAATTTAAGTTGGCTGCATCACACCAAATGTCTACTTTTAAACCATCATTTTAGGCATTTAGATCCAAAAAGCATATTATATTATCGGATATGTATTTCTGATAGCATAAGAAATTTATCGAATATGCATATCAAGTAATGCAATATTGATTTCGGGTATCCATTTTCATAATGTTCAAATTTTTAGTTTTAATGTGATTTGAATATGAGTTACCTTATCATTTATTAGTTGTTCTTCATCTTTACCGATTTTGTTTGCCATCCGACTATCCATTTGTACAACATAAAATAATTATCTAAAAGATTTATGGTTTATATTAGAAATTTAGGGTTTGAGGTACGTAAGAAGGAAGAAGAAAAAAAGAAAGAAAAGTAAAAAAGAAGAAGAAGAAAAGAAATAGAAAATGGGTGTATAAGGGTTAAAAATGTTATTTACTAGAGGATAATAAAGTAATTTCACTGAAGAGTAATTTTGGAAAAAAAGTTGAGATGTATAAGGCGTTATTTAGGGTCGTTTAGAACCCCTCATCTAAGATTATCTACTAAATTCTTTTATTATATTACCTTTGATAACACATGAATAACACATGACATTCATAAAATAATTTTTTAAATAACTTTGTAATATATTTATTTTCACAATATATTTATTTAATACATGAATAACTTATTTATTTAATATTTTTGTAATATATTTATTTATTTTGCAAACGGTTTAATTAAATTAATTTATATATTTCTACATCTTATTAATTCAACATATTAAGTATGCAAAATATTGAATGTTTTAATATAGAATTCTATAATAAATGATGTTTGTTAATAATAATTAGCATCTATATTCAAATAGACAACATTTGTTAATAATAATCGTCATCTATTTGATTTTATATAAATATTATTTTAATAATTTATTAGACAATTGATGACAATTTTATTCTAAAAAAATGCATGAAAAGTATTTTAATAATAGATTACGCTTTTTAGAAACAAAACATAGTATTTGTTTTATCCAAAATTAATTATTTTCTAATATCTTCTTAATAATTACTACGTTTTATAGAATATAAATGTTATTGTTATGAAAATAAAATAATTTCAAAAAGTCTTTGTTCATATTATATTTTTATAAATACTACATTTTTTATTTTTATATCATTATCATTTTTTTATCAATTAAAAATAAATATTTTATTACAAATGTTTGTTTCATTTCAAATAATTAAAACATTATTGATATAATATATATATATATATATAAGTTAACAATTTTTATTATTATATCTTTATTAAATAAAATCAAATTATTTGTAAAATAACTCAATAAAAAAGTAAAATAATTAAATTAACCTCAATAGAAATTCAATAAAAATAAAGTAGCATTTGGTATCTTTTATAAAATCATAATGATAATGTAGTTACCAGAGTGATTTTATTACGGTGGTGATCTTATTACTTGTGATTTGAAATCATTTTATGTGGTTAATAATTAAAAATTTTTAAGAATTAAGAATTATTATGTTTGATATTACAAAAAATCAAATATTATTTTGTTTAAAAATACGAAAATAATCATGTATATTGTAATAGTTACACAAGTTAATGATTTTAATGTTTTTTGAAGATAATAATTTTGTAAGATATTACTAATATTTTAATTATTTTATAATAAAATATTATTAAATTATTAAATTAATAAATATATTTATTAATAGATAAATTAATTTTTATAATATAAATTATGTAAAAATATTTAAATTAAAAAATAAAACTAATATATTAAATTTATAATAAAAAACAAAAAGATTATATTATATATAAAATATTAAAAAATAAAAAATGCATAAATTATTTTTGAATTTATTACAATAAATATTAGTTTAAAAATATAAAATTTATAATACAAAATAATTAAAAATTTTAGGAGGAAGCAAGTTTTCAATTCACATATTAAATGGGTAATGTTAACAATTGTTAATTTTAAATCTTACTTTATCTTTGTGATAAAAGTTTTTTACCTTCTTAAATGGGAGTCATATTACTTTCTAAGCTAGTAATTTAATCACTTTTGATAATCTAAGATCACCATCATATAAGATTTCAAAGTATGTACCAAAGATAATGATTTAATCATCGTTTATAAATCATTATGGTTTTTAAAGTGATAATTCTATACTAAAATTACTTAAAAAAATAAAATTGAATTAATTTTTATTTTATAAAAATAATAATAATTAGGAAATTATTATTTTTTGATAATGAAAAATCTACACCTATATATTCCTTCAATCTCAATTTATTTATCTTGTATGGACTTTCACGAAATATAAGAAAACAATTTTGACATTAATATATTTAATATTAAAATTAATTAAAAAATAAAGTTCCATGATTTTTAATGTTAAAAAGTACAAATAAAATCATAAAAAATAATTGTAAAATATAAAAAAAAGAGTTTTAAATATTTAAAAAAAAACATAATTTTAGGATATCTAAAAAAAAAAAGATAAAGAGAATATTAAAAATATCCTTTTAGGGTTAATACTTAACACCGTATCCCATTTTGTGGATTGGATTAATATTTTGTTTATTTTAATTGGTTTTAAAGAGATAAATAGACTGTGATTTTGTTAGTTAAATTTAGTGTTAGGAAAAATAAATGGGTTATGTTTTATTTATTTGATTAAAACAAACTTAAAAAATTGTTGCAAATGCGTAATCCATTTTAAATAAATAAAGTTAAAAGTAGATTTGTAGCCCATTTTAAGTAAATAACTCTTAATTTAAAATATATTTTGTTTAATTTATTCTATTTTTTAAACATTTTAATTTTTTAAATATATTTTTAATTGTTATTTACATATATTTTATTTGTTTATTTTAAATAATTAATAAGACAAAATTAATAATAAAAATAATAATTTGAAAAATCATCGATGATCAAAATTATTTTTAAATTTATAATACCAAATTTTAAAATATTTCCTTAAATTGAAGAATCATACTGTAAATTTTACTAAAGCAAAAAAAAAAAAAATCATACAATTTATTAAAAAATTTAATTTCTGATGATCATAAAAAAAAATTCATTATTATTATCAAAATTAAAAAATTGCTTTGTTTGTTAGGTGAATGAAACTTTAATAAAAACAATAATAAGAATATAATATAATATTTTTTAATAATTACTAAATAAAAAATAAAAATTTCACTTTTTCTGTCTATTCCTTTACCGGAGCACGGGGTACTATACCAGTACTTAAGAAAGTTATTATTGGAGAATCTTTGCCGAGTTTTGTAATGTCTTTCTTAGTTGACACGCACACTCTCTCCTTCCCCTCGCCGCTCGTACCTCAGATTCATTCTTTTTCCCCCATTTTATAATTTTGAATTGTTATTATTATTTTTTAAAAAATTGGGATTTTTAGGTTAGGGTTTTTTGGGGCAAAAGGATTTGCATCCATCGGCATCGGCATCATCGGGATTGGATTTGAGATATTGATTTTTGAGAATCAATCAGGGGGTGGGGGCATGGAGAACGGTCACGACGGGAAATTGGCAGAAAAATTACTGCGATTGACCCTCAACGAGAGGGAGCCCTCCAACGACGATAGCTTGTTTCAGGTCATGAAAGCCGTTGAGGCCGCCGAAGCCACCATCAAACAGCAGGTTTTCTTCTTTTTTTTGTTCTTTATTTTTCTAGTATTAGTGATAATGAAAAATAATTTTATTTTCAGGCGGATGAGAACAGTCGATTGAGGTCTGAACTCCAGAAGAAAATTGAGCAACTCGAAAAATATGTAGAAGATTTAACCTTTTTTTCTTCTTTTTAATCAAATCATGCTCTATATCATCATTAAGCTTTATTTCTGCTCGTATTTATTTATATTTTATGGAAATCAGAAAGTGCAAATTGGTAGTAATCCAAATGCTTCTGCTAACGAAGCTGCCAATACCAATTTAAATGGAACTTTGAGCGCACTTCCTGCTGCTGCTGCTGCTGCTACTTCTTACAGCACCGCGGGCGCTGCTCCTTCTCTTTTCTCTTCACCCTCAGCAGCTACCACTTTCCCTTCTACCGGGTTCTTCTTCTTTACATTTTAATACTCAGCTGTAATAACTGGATATGTATGAACACTAAATACATCATTTTCTGTTTTACTTGTTTTAATATTGTAGGTATCAATTGGAAGGAGAATACGATTCTCTATCACCGCAGGGTCTAATGCCAATGCCTCAAATAAATAATTCCAATTCCCTATGGAAAGAGGTTCCTTCTGCCCTTTTACTATGCCTTTTTTTATTTTTTCTTTTATGGACTGACTTCTATTTTTCTCCAGGATGTTGTCCTCAAGATTCGAGAACATGAAGAAGAGATTTTGCAGTTGCGCAAACAGCTTGCTGATTTTTCTGTCAAGGTTGTGTCTGCTTCTTTTTCCCTTTCTGTCTTCATTGAATTTGTGTTAATTTTGGATTTCTAATAATTCGTGGTTATTCACAGGAAGCACAAATACGCAATGAAAAATATGCACTTGAAAAACGGATTGCCTATATGCGACTGGTAGTCACTAGCCTAGCTTTTACTTTGATTTGCACCTTGCCTAATTCTCTTCTTCCTTATTTGATTTCTTGTTCAGGAATGGAAATATAGTTTATAAAATATTTTATTTGTTGTCACCAGGCCTTTGATCAGCAACAACAGGACCTTGTTGATGCTGCATCAAAAGCTCTCTCTTATAGACAAGACATAGTAGAGGAAAATATTCGTCTCACATATCAATTACAGGTATTTTCATTTATTAGTGTCATTTATTTTTCACCTTGAGGATTAATATTTTTGTTTTCTTTTTGACGATGTTACTTGTCCTCTCTATTTCTGTTGGATGGTATGTGCCTGTATTCTGTTTGGGCATTAATCCATGATGTTTCCTTTGTGTTAAGACTTCTGACCATTAATGCTGAAACTACATGCGTGAAATTATTTTTTTTCTTCACACTCCCATTCGTGTTTGAAAATTTTCTATCATCATCTTACGTGGTTTGGTGCCATACATTGTAATATTGTATATTGTTACAATTCTTATGATTACAACTGTTTTTAAAATTGATTTACATTTCAATGTTCTACCTGTGGTTCTTCTTTCAGGCTGCACAGCAAGAAAGAGCAACTTTTCTGTCATCTTTGCTTCCTCTTCTGGCAGAGTATTCCCTGCAGCCGCCATTACCTGATGCTCAGTCCATTGTAAGCAATGTCAAGGTCAGTGTCAAAATGCTTTCCAATTGTGTCGATGAAATTATACTCATAGAGTCTGTTTTGACGGAAAACCCGTATCAACTTGCTAGAAAACTTTGATATAGTCTGTATTCTGTATCTAAGATGAGTCTGTCTGTAATTCAAATGAAAGTGTTATATTCAATCATATCAATAATATCATAGTGCGAGTGACATAATTTAATGCTATTCATTCGGGCAGATATCCCATGCTCAGATATTGAAAATGTCATCATTGGTATGAGCACCTTATCTCTCCAAAGAACTCTTCTCTGCTGTGATACCCCTGTTCTATTAAATCTTTGAATCTGCTGATGCTTTGTATTTTGATTGGGTCATCTTGACAGTAGTTAGGCTAATCTCTGATGAATATGATATAACAGACAGAAACAATATAAGATTCTTTGAAATTTTATTTAAAAATTTGTGTGTATTTGCGTTTCTTAGGAGTTTTAATGGTATTGTAATCAATTAGACAAATGGAAGATGATTTTTTCTTTTCCTACATTCTTTTTATTTTATCTTTTTCAAAACTGCCTTTTATGTGTGTGTGTGTGTGGGTGATTCATTCTTCTAATTTAAGGGATATTTTAGCGATCATAACAATATTTGGATTCTAAAGTTTATTAGCATTACTTGTAGCTAAGTATATATTATACCTAGTTTCTATCTACTTTTAACCTTGAAATTTCTGAAGAGAGTTTGTGTAAAAAAATGAGACATATATTAGATAAGGACACAAAAAAGAGGAGGGAACAATTATTTTGAATAAGTCAGAAGTATCTTTTTCTTTTCTTTAAATCAGAAGCATGAAGTTAGTACTTGACTTTTGCAGATTCTTTTTAAACATCTGCAAGAGAAGCTTATAATTACTGAGGTATGTCATGTGGAAATGTTTTTTGTAATAGCTGGAGACATCTTTCTTTTTCAGTTCTGATGGAGTTAACCTGGGTTAATTATAGTATGTTATATACCATATTTGAAGTACTTAATTATGTTTAATATCTTCTTTTCCTGGCTTCAGTCAAAGCTAAAGGAGTCACAGTATCGATTGTCACCTTGGAGGTCAGATGTCAATCATTCCAATTTTGCCCCCCAATCTCCATCTCATTCCCTTGGTGCAACATTGACAACTTCAGTATGCTCCTATATCTTATTTTGATTGTACTTTTATTCCATAATGATTTTCTTAAATTCCTATACTTTGTGTCAGAGCAAAAATGGCCTTGAATTGGTGCCACGGCCGGCATATTCCCAGGGAAAGACACAGATAATTTCTGATGCTCAAACAGACTCAAATTGGGATCTACCTGCTCAGCACCAAGGTGGCTTGGGTGGTGGTATTGCTTCAAAAAATTTGGAACCTGATGATTTGGGGAGGTATTCACCTATAGCAAGCAGGTGAGCCTGGTCAAATGGAGACTGCTACTGTGAATTGAATGTACAAATTACAACCTTCTGCATTTGTTGGTGGGTTTCTGTTTTCATTGAATTCTTTTTGTTGTATTGTATGCATAAATCATTTCAAAAGCTAGATTTTCATGGTGAACCAATATGAACCTTCCATGGTACATTATACTGTCTCCACATATGATAATCTGCCAACTGGTTAACCATACTGGTATAATTTCTATTCTGCAGTTGCTGTTCTTTGGTAGTTCCATAAAATGTAACTTCTTACCTAAAACTTAATAATATAGGATTTGTATCTGGATAAAGGAAAAAAAATCCTAACCATACATAATTCGAAATTGTCCTGTCCCATTGCTTAAATAAGAAGATACTATGACCAGAAATGAAAATAATGAATTGTTTTCTACTTATAACAGGTACTCTTCTTTCAAGAAGCCATAATGTAGAGTTATTTGAAGAGGATGAACTGAATTCAGTGCTTGTAATATTGTTAGACTTTCTTCTGCAGTTGTTGTCTTGTGGAAATAAATTGCTGTCATGTAAAAACCTTTTCCTTGCCTAAAACTTGTATATAATTTGTATCTTGAAAAAAAACAGAAAACAATCTGAACTTTCCAAAATTCAGTATTGTCTCCCCTTCCCCTCTACCACCACTCCCGTATGTTTAAATCATGAAGAAGATAGTATACCCAGAAATGGTAACAATAAATTGTTTTCTGTTCAACAAATACTCTTCTTTCAACAAGCCCTGAGGTAGAGTTTGTGGAGATTGAAGTTGATTCATTGCTTGTAATCACTCTCTCTCTTTTAAAAATATTTTTGTGAAATTTATGCTTTTCCCCAAGTACTTTAGGCATAAGGGGTATTGGTTCAGCACATAAGAGGTTAAAAGGGGGACAAAAAGGAAGGAATCTGGTATAGTAATGAGCTGTATAAGATTGCAGTATCTTAGGTGTTGCTTGTGATAATGTTTGACTTTTTACTTTATTCCAGGCCACAGTCTCTTAACATACTTAGAAATAAAATCTTTGTGTTTTACTCCTATGATTTTGTGCTATCTTTGGTCTTAAAATATTAAATTTGTTTTTGCATGTAAAATCTTACATCCCACTTGATCAATGATTAGCATGTCTTTGTATCTGAATATGCTTTTGTAGTGCCACCTCGCCCTTAAATAGGAATTTTTCTTTTTTGTTTAGTCTTTTCTTGAATTATGGCATATTTGTGTTTGTATTCTTAGTTGTCGTAGTCCATTTGTCACATTATGTTATTGTTTTTTCTGACCAACACTCTGATCTCCTGATTATTAATCAATCCTGCATCTTTGTTGATCATAAATCCAAGATGCTAAGATTTATTATGCTTAGATTTTCTGTACTAACATTTTCACATCATTTTTATTTTATTGCTAATGGATCTTTTTTTTTGGTACATATCACCAATAAATCTATCAAAAGTGTGCATCACATGTATAATATTGTTTAATCTAAAATTCGTGGGTTTATTATACTTTTACCTAGTACCCAGTTGTGAATAACCTTCTTGGTTGTTCCATCTACGAATAGCACATTTTCCTCAATTGGTCTGTCCTTTGCAGTTGTCTTGAATATGCCTATGTAGTTCCCTCATTGTTGAAGCAAAAAGGCAAGAACTCTTAAATGGAACTTGATATGAATAAAACTTAATTGGATACATTTTATTGCTCTCCCTCTGGAGCTATTCCTTGATAGATGTCCTTTATCATGTTAATGTAATTAAGAGATATTTCCTTTTTCTGGAAGCTTGCATCCTTCTTAGATTGCTGAAAGCCATCTGAATGTCTTTCTCCCTTATTTATCCTTTGTATGACTTGAAGGTGAAATAATAGCTTCTGCGGCTTAACTTCTATGATAAATTTGTCTCAAGTTGATTTTTGCTCTATTTGTAGTATTACTTGTTAGTATTTTCTCTCTTAATATTGTTTCATCTTCTATTTACGAATCTTAATACTTGTCTTTTGTTAGTATCATTCAAAACGCTATAGCTACAATCCTTGCTATGAACAGAATTAATTACTCTATACATATAATATGTTAGTTTATCTTTTTGCATTTGGGATAAAGTTGAGAGAGGATAAATCCTGTTTTACAGAATTTAAAATTAAATAAATTTAAATCTGAAGCGATAGAGATATAGAGAGCAAAAGAAATCAGTTCACCTCATTATTTGTGAATAACAACAGAGAAATCTAGTGGCCTCTCTTTATTAAGAGTTGTAAGCCATTTAAGAGTAATTCTGTATAATTGATATGCATATCAGCATTTTTGAGGAACAGTCAAATTAGGATACTAAAGTTTTTTGAGGAGCAAATTTTACTTAATATCTTTTAGATTTTGTTTCATGAAAGACATGGAATTTTCTAGAATTACAGATGCTGATCATTTTTGTTTGACAAGGGCATGGCTGGCAGCATTCACATATGTTAAACTGAGAAAAAAGGTTGATTTTAATGATTGTCAGGACTTATACTGCTAATGAGATGCCAACACAGCTGACAGTTACTCACAGTGACACTCATACTGGACAATGTGGTGACGAAACTATTAATAAACAAGTTACATTTCGTGACCCTGTCAGCAATAGTGAGATGGATTATCCTGATGCTGAGGGACACCCGATTGAAAGAGAACCTCCCTCCAACTGGGGTTCAGGAAACTCTCCTTATGCCGCTACACTTGATGACCCCAGCTCCTCATATCCTCCTTATCTACCACCAGTTCTTGAAGAGCCTTCATCTTCTTTTTCTGAGGGTAAGCAGTTAATGTGATTCATTGGTTGCAAGCATAACCATTGACTATCTTAAATTGTCTATTGCTTTGTGCAGCTGCAGAGGATGATCCACTTCCAGCTATAGAAGGTCTTCAAATCTCAGGTGAAGCTTATCCAGGAAGGGAACTTCAGGCATGTGGATATTCTATCAATGGAACTACCAGCTGTAATTTCGAGGTGCTTTTTCTGGATTTTTTTACCCTCTTAAAAATTTAGGATTTGTGGTACAGTTATTTCTTGGATGTATTTGAAGATGCCTTGTATTAGATAGCATTTCTCTAGACTCCAAAGCTGGAATATATAATGCCGTAATGTGCTTGCAATGGCAGTGGGTGCGCCATATGGAGGATGGATCTGTTAATTATATTGATGGTAGTTTCCTGTCCTTTATCTTCTTGAGGTTCTCTACTTCTCTTTCCATGCTATCCCTGTTATTCATTGAATATGTTTCTAAAAGAGTTTTGGAAAACAGGAGCAAAGCAACCAAACTATCTTGTAACTGCTGATGATGTTGATACATACCTTGCTATTGAAGTCCAGCCTCTAGATAACAGGAAACGCAAGGTATTGACTTTAATACCACTTCCCATAATTGGCACCTTGTGCATTCATGTGTAGTTTATTGTCCTTGGCTTTTCTTTTTTTGCCTATGAATCTGGTAGAAGCAAGTCTTGAACATCATAAGACAAAGTGCTAGGTGAGTTTAGAATGCCGAAAGAAAAAAGAAAGTTTTAGGCAATATGACCATTTATTGAATATTTACTTAGGAAGACCTATTTAACTATAGAAAAATATGTTGATCCATGTATTTGCTAGTTTGCATTTTGGGGTTATCATATTTTCTGTATGTATGTTTTGCATATGTGTGTCAGTCGTTACTACATATTAGAAAATTTCTCATTTGGCATTCTTTTGTTTGGAATAGTGGGTTTGTTTTCATGTAATTGTAATGATACCTGTTGTGATAGAATTCCAACTATAATTGATGTGGAAGCAAACAACAATAAAATGAAATGGTAAAAAAAAAAAAAATTGTAAGGCCCGTTTGTGCTATTTCAACCAAATCTCAGTCAGTCCCTATACATCTATTGGTTTAATTGAACCCTTATAGTGTTATATTTTTCCTAACTAAGCTTTATCAAATGCAAATCGCATGGTTTACATATCTTTGCCTCATGAAATCTTTGTAGGGTGTATACAACAAAACACTATGCCTTATATCACATACTTTTGGGTTGGTTGTATGAAAAACCAAATAAGAGAATCAAGTTAGGTTGTAGTTTGAATCTTCTTGCGCCACTCATTTCTATCAACCACCACCTTTTCATCTAATTCTTTAACCATCATATCGTTTTTTATTACTTGCATCCATATCTTTGGTGATCTACTTCTAGATGTTTTGATCTCTCCTAGATCTAGAGACTCAATTTTCCTAACCGGTGCACAGCTAGATCTAAGTTTCACATGTCCAAACCGTTGCAAACGGCCCTCTCTCATCTTCTTTTCAATTCGGACTATCCCAAATTTTTCTTGTATCTCTTCATTTCTGATTTGTCTCTTCTAGTCTTACACAAATCCATCTAAGCATCCTTATCTCTGCTACGTTCATTTTCTTCTCATTTTGTTTCTTAACAGTCCAACACTCAGTTCCATATAGTAATGTAGGCCTTATGGTTATTTTATACAACTTCGCTTTTAACTTTAAAGGAATGTTGCGATCACATAATACATCCGATGCATTTTGTCACCTTGCCCATCCTGCTTGAATCCTATGTTTGACATTTACTTCATGGAGTATATGCAGGAAAAAAATTAGCAAAGCTAATGCTGACTTGGTGCTTATATCTTTGCCGCATAAGTGATTGTTCTTTGCATTTGGAGTATTGTCTTCTATTAGGTGACTTAGCTTTGTGATAGCATTATGGATTTGGCAAAGAGAATTATGGGGCACAAAGAGTTCCAACATTGAGAATTGCATTGTTTACATGCACATGGGAGCTTAATCACAACTCGCATCTGAACAAGAGATTTGTTGAGGTTTACTTGTGGAAGTGTGGTTGTCCCATCATTGGTTGGAAGTGAGACGTAAAAGAGACATACGTACATGAAGGCCTCAAGAACCCATTAGCTTAGGCTTTTGGGTCTAAGTGATCTCTAACATTGACCCCTCAAAATGCTATTCACTGACTCAAGGATTAACTTCTGTGCAACAATAACTAGTTTTCTTAATTCTTGAGTCTCAAAACATTTTTCCAACTTTAAGTCTATAAAGATGAATACTGTGTTTGTTTGTTGTAAAATTTGCAATCATTCTTTGTTGGGGTATATTGCACTCAATAGTTGTCAAATATGCACAAGGCACCATTTATTTTGCACTAGGGACACTATCTGCTTGTTGCTGCCAAATTGAATAACTTTGTTCTCTTTGTCAATTTAGGGAGAGCTGGTGAAGGTCTTTGCCAATGAGCACAAGAAGATCACGTGTGGTGAGTGATATTGATGGTACTTGTTTCTCTAGCACACCTTTCCTTTGTAATGTTTGGAAATGAGATCTTTTGAAATTGGAGAAAAACTTAGTAACCTCCAGTTGATTGTAATAGTGTAAATATTGTTGTTGTGTACCTTACTTTGACTAATAAAAAATGCTAAATTAACATAGACACAACAGTCAACCCATTTGTTAGATTGACAGTTGGTCGACAACAATATCCATGCAGGTTTGGCTCCCTCTCCATTACTTTTTTTGTCCAATGCTTTCTAAAACACCATCATCACCATTTGCATATGGGGCATCCGTAACTAATAATTGAATCCCACAGATATGAATGGTGATAATGAGCGTATTGAAAATTAATGACAGAAAATTAATGGGGGAGATCCCTACCTGTATCCCTACCATCTTGGTTTTCTTTTCGTAAGGGAGAAAGAGCAACAGTGTCTGCTTTGGTTTTATTGTCTCTTCTACTGACCAGATTAAGTTTATGTTGCTTTTTGCCTGAACAATTTCTGTGCCTTTTATCATTTGAAAATTGTTAGAATCTCTGTAAATCTTGTTAACTTGGCTACCCATTTTTTGGCACCAGATATTGAAAATTCATTAGATGTTACATACTTTCTCTCTTTCCCTTTTTTCCCTTTTATTTTTAACAGATCCGGAGATGCAAGGCCATATAGAGAAGACTCTGTATAGTGGTCATGCTTCATATAAAGTTTCAATCTCGGTATGACTTCTACATTTGTATGGTTGTCTGCTGCCCCATTGTGTGATAATGGTTCCATTTAGTTTTCTAGTGCTTATCAGCATAATATGTTTAGGCTATTAATTTTATTTAACGTGACAATGTCACACTTAGTACTTTTAACTCTTATATTACAGACAGGATATCTTGATATATGGGAACCGGCTACATTGGCCATTAAAAGGGATGGTTACAGTATCAAGTGTGGTGGATCCAATGGTCTTGTGGTCACTGAAAAGTTTTATCCAACCACTCAGGTATGACTCATAACTGGCATATCCTTTTGAGATCCTGTTGGAGTGACGTAGGACAGCTAGGAAGTTTGAGATTTATAGCAATTTTCTGATCTGAATTGATTGGAAATCTTGAGAAACAGGGAAATTGAATGATGAAAAGAGAAGACAAAAAATCCCTGATGCTTCACACATTGTGTTCCTTGATTGGGTCCCTAAGCTTCATGGCATTTAGCTCTATTTTTTCAAAGATTTATGCTCTAGAGTCCTTTTATTCCTATAATAACGGCAATTGATTTGGATGCACAAGGTTCATGATTCAGAACTTTCCTCTGTTGGAGAGAAAGGGAGTTGCTTTGAGCACCATGGACAGTAACATTTAATTAAGATTGCAATGTACATTAGCATAGACCATAAACTCGATACCTTGTTGTACACTGTTTTCTAATATTGCTTTTTTTTTTTTTTTTTTTTTTCCACTTTATGAACCAAAAAAAGAATATATGGCTTTCCCTGGTGCCTCTTAAGTAATTATATTGAATTAAAGCTAACCCTAATCTGACTTAATCAGGTTTTTGAGGATATGTCATATATGAATCTATCAAAACAAAGTTGAATTCATTCAGGAAATCAAATCTCACCACAGATCTTTTTATTATTATTATTATAATGATAGGGATCTAGGATTATGCTAAGCTAACAATATAGACTTAGAGATAAATTTTCAGATCCTAATAGTAATTAATATTCACTTTACGATGTGCCACATCATGTTCTGCATTTCTTGTCCATTTAAAACAGTGATCCTTCTGTGCGGTTAAAAATGGCCTCAATATATTTGTGCTTATTAGCTTGTTGATGGAAACAATTGAATTGAGTTCCCTGATCTTGGCTACTATTGATATATTTTTTCCTGAGGCACTAGTGATCATGAGCACTCTGATATACATTCTTATATATTTTTGTTGGTAACTTTTTGTGTATGTATTGTTTATTGTTTTCTCTAGGTTAAAATAACATTTGGAGAGCCTACAGAGTTTATGATTATTGGATCAAATGGTGTTCAGCGTCTCTTACGAGCAGGTAGCAGCTCTCCAGATATTAGCTGGTAAGTTTGAAGTTTCTCTTGTGAATAAATAAACAATTGCTGATTAAGAAAATAATTGAAAACTCCACATCCATAAGCATAGTACATTTGGGAAACATGTCCCCAAAGTTTACAAAATTACAATTATTCTACTAAGAACCAGCAAAGTACTTGCAATTGTCCCAAGGGGGCACCTTAATGTTTACTTGATGTTTCAACCTGGAAGTCTTATGCTCAGGAATGGGGGGGCAAGGAAGGGGGGGGGGGGGGGGGTACTTCCCTTTTTGCAGCCCAAAGTTCAATGAACCACTAAGGCATTTCCTTGATATTAACGCTTAATTGCTCATTTGGTATTTTCCATTTCAATTTCCAGAGTCAAATCAAAGACCAGTAACTTTAATAAATTTGGAAGATATTTTTATATGGACTTGCACTCACTTAGGGTAAACTTATGATAAGCACTATCAATAAGAGGCTCAGATGGCAGTGATAGGCTCAATGTTATGTAACATTAACCCAGTCTTCAGCCTCTTCACTCGTCTGCTGCTTCAAAATATAAAGGATTGAAAATGGATGTTATTCCCCAATTCTAGCAGATTCTGTCTCACCTACTTTGTCTGTTTGTGCGTGTGTGTACAAATCAAAGCAGTTTTTACGTAATCCTATTTTAGCTAGACACAAGTTGTTTATTATTGCTCTCTCACTGGCGTTTTACGCTCAACTTTTTCCTCCGAATATGTACCAAAAAATACCAAATAATCACTGCAATTGGTTACTTATTCCTTCTATCTCTTTGTATAATTGTGTATGTGATTATTTGACATTATGAAGAAGTTCACTATCATTTCTATCTAATTATCACCAAAAGAAAAGAAGAATCTTTGATTTGTAAGGACACTGATGATTATGGCACATTTTATTAACTAGCTGTACCGTGGACTAATCCTCAGCACTCTGCTGCTCTTATGTAGTTAATGAAAGATCAATAGATTATGAGAGAGTTCAAGCGGGGAGGAGAGGAAGATTATAGTGGAAGAAAGTGAATTGAAGGGGAAATTTGAAATTAATAGTGAGGTAGGACAGCAGTGGATAGGCTTTCTTGGAGGCTTTAGGGATGGTTAATATCATATTGAGAGGGTAAAAATATGCAACAGTTTTTTTTTTTTCTTTATCAGTAAGTATGCAACAGTTTAGAGTGTGAAAATTGTAACAGAAGATTTGGGTTGATTAGCTAATCAATAAAAATCATATATAGAGACTGTTTATTGGGCTGTGAAAAGGACCTTGTTACATGCAATTGGGATTTTATGTTTGAAGTATTGTTGCTAGGTAATGCTGGCTTCATGTTGGCTTGAAAAAGGCTAAAGAAAAGAATCAAGCCTTTTTGGAAGGTTATGTAATAAACCAAACCTGGATACTGATCTGAAATATAGAGCAAGAGAAAGAAAATAAGAAGTCCACAATTCCATGTAAGTTTTGTAGATGTGATGCCTAGGGTTATTGACTTATTTCCATTATGAACTTATAATTGCAATCTGCTGAAAAAGCTTTTGAAGATGGGGCTCTGATTAAATAGTAGAAAATATTGACCTGATGGATATTTAGCACTCTGAGGACACAAAGATCTATCTTATATATGTCTAACACTAGACTTGCCTTGAATGGAGACCTAAAAGTATAGAATGGTTCTATATATAAATGGTAGAAGGATAAACTGATCATATGCAGCAAAAACTGCCAATAGATTTTACTTTAAAAGACAAAAACAACATGGATAAGTAAAGGCAGCTATTTTTTTTTGTAAAGATAGATTAGATGGAGATAAGACTCATTTGTGTACTGTTGACTATTCAAGCTCTTAACTCTTGTCCTTCATTGTTAGACGTGCTGAATTAAAGCTTGGGGATGAGAACAAGCTTTGGCAAACCTTTGAAAGGTCCTTGGGAGCCTGCTTCTGGCATGCCTCTTCAGATTCTATTATAAGATTAAGGAGGGGTCAATGGCCAAAAGTGATGTGTGTATTTCTGTTGTTGCAGTCAAAATTAAAAGTTTCCCATCTATCACACAATTTCTGGACTTTGTGTTGGTTGTGATGCAGCTTCTATTCTAATCTATAATGCCAGTTCTTGAAATTGGTGCATGCCAACTTGGCATTTTTTAAATCTGGACTTCATTTACTCCCATTTTTCTCTTACCTAAACAAATGTACATGTTATACATCCATACTTTTGTCTTTTTTATTACTTAGATGGAACATTGTAAAAGTTACAACTATTCTATTTTATATTTCGAGATTTTTTATCTATATATTAATTAAATTATATATATTTATTTTTCACCCTTAGTGGGTGTGCAGAGGATAGTTTGTTTATGTTTACATTTCATTTGTGCAGTTCAAGGGATACAATTGTGCTCACCTTGAGATTATTTATCATACGGGTATTACTCTTCACTCCTATCCATTTTTCTTTCTGTGAAAGAGTAACATTTGACCTTTTTTCTTCTCACATACACACAACCCCATCTAAAACTGATTAATAGCTTTTGAACTAATTGTTTTTTCTGCATACTGGATTTGTAAATCTATTTTCACACCTTCAAGTGTGAATATCCCAAGTTTTTATGTACTGGCTTCTAGTTTGATGTTTAAATAAAAGCTTCTGATATCTCTTTCATATTTACAGACAGAATAATATTGATGGTTACTTGGGGATCCAAGGATGATTTTCCAAGTTTTTTCAAAATTTCTAAGAGTAGAATTTCTTATGTTCTGCTTCAGTTTCAAAAATTTTTGGTTATTTCCTTGGTCATACGCTGCGTCATTCTTACTGGTTGACTGCCATTTCACTCTTAAATAGAAGATTTAAAGCACCTCAAGTTTATGACTGCAAAATTGCATTGATTTAGACCTGTGTATTATCGCTTTTTCAGTCCAAGGATGATGCTTTCCCTTTTTTGCCGTTTTGGCTCAAATTTGACAAGTAACAGCTAAAACCTTATTTATCATCGATTTTGACTTCCAAGGTAGTCTTCTGAGGCTCTGACCAAACAACTAAAATCTTATTTATCATTTTAGCACCCAAAGTAGTTGTACAAGAATTCAAACCCTTGCACTATCTCTCTAATGACATTAACTTAAACTTTTCCACGTCCAGTTATTTTTGGTTTTGTTGTTGTTTTAACGTTTTCTTAAATGATGGGAATCTATTTTGCAATCTTGGTATCATTTTCTTATATATCTAAACCAAGTTTACTATGTGAATATCTGAGATTTTGGCATCTATAATCAGGTTTGAGTTTCGACCTATCTGTCACACAAATCAGAGAGGAATGGGTGGTTTTTCCTTACATTTTCACACTTGGGTCATTAGTTTGGTTGTGGTTAAACAGTGGGACCTATTACTAGCAGACTCGCTTGAATATTTTTTAGCTTTCAAAAAACTAATTAAAAAAAAAAAAACTGATAAGCTCAGTTTTTAGCATTTATGTGCAGTGCTGATTTGATAGGACCAAATTTACTGTTTTGATAGGTTTTATGGCGTTAAAATTTTGCAACCTTTCATTATTCTAAACCCTTGTGTTTACAAGAGGTTCCTCTTATTAGCTTTTGCAGGCTGGTGAGAGAAGGAAAGGGAAGAAGAGAGGCTTATTCTTCAACAAGTAAGGTTACATGCTTTACAAACTGTGCAGCTCAGGAAACCTTGCTATTGAGATTGTGTAGTGTATATTTACAAGGCAGCAATGTTGAAGCTCAGTGCACAATATATCTTTGCTAAACTTGTTGAGTAGCTAGCTTTTGTGTTCTAATATTCTTTGCAAGGCAGCAATGTTGAGTCGTTAAAATTTGTATCGATATTTTTGTCCTCAATGCTGTAATATCAAATTTATCACTAGATGTCGAAAGGGATTGAGTTGGTATTCACATAGTGACCATTTTTGAGGTCATCTTATAATAGGAATGGTTGGTCAATTTTGGATATTAACCATGTCTTAATTCTTTTATTTTCCCCCTCACAATCCCTCCCCATCCCCCCCCCCCCCAAAAAAAAAAAAAAAAAGGTTTTTGAAGTAGACTAAGCCAACTTAAGTCGATATTATGCAACTGCTTCAGTCATGAAATCAAATAAAAAATCCAAATGTGCTTTGTGTGTTTCCCTTATCGTTTCTATTTGCTCCGTTAAAGTCAACCATAATGTTGTTCTATTATTCTGATTATGATGGTGGAGGCAGTAGGTGGCAGTCATGGTTGTCTTCTAATTTGTACATTCAGGAGGAAAGGAAAAGAAAAGAATAACATGTAAATATTTCGAGGGACTTTTTAAATGCATTTGGCTTTTCAAAATTTTTTGTTAGTGAAATTATTTAAATATTTTTTTAACAAGTTTTTGGATATCATATTCGGTAAGATATATAACTTACAACATAATCATTTTTAAAAGGTTATATAATTTTTAGAAATTCATTTTTAAAAGATTAAGGTTTTGTTTGGTTTGAAAATTTTGTTTTTGTTTTTATTTTATATTTTCATTTTTTAGAAAGTAGTATTTATTTTTTATTTTTTATTTTTTAAAATGTATTTAGTAAATAAAAATAATTTTTTTAAATATAAAGATAAGAAATTAAATAAAATCTTCAAGGATATTACTATTAATGGCATCTAATTATGAACATAATATATATTTATTAATTAATAACATTAAAAAGTCTTCAAATATGATAACTTGCAAAACATTGGAAAAAATATAATGTACATCTAATGTTTTCACAATTGAAAACATCTTTTTTTTTTATTTTCATATTTTAATTTATTTTTCATTTTTGTTTTCTAAAAATTTGTTTTCATTTTTAATTATCAAACACGTTTTCACTTCTATTTTTTATTTTTAAAAAAAAAAAAAAAAATGACTTTGTATTATGAAACCAAACAATACCTAAGTATTTAAACTTTCAAGTGAAATTATAAAAAGAGGATTTTATTAGAAATTTTATTAATTGATGTAATAAAAAATTATTATTAAAAAGAAATCATAAATTTTAAAATTAATAAAAAAAAGATTTTATTGTTTTGACTTTAGTGAAAGAGAGTTTTATTAAGCCTTAACATTTCACAACTTGATGTTAGGAGAGATGATAAAGAAACTATCATATTTGATCAACATTTATGATTTGAAACTTTTAAAAATTGTACAAGTAATATTATTGAATATTATATAATTTTGTTAAAATATAATATGTTAATTGAAAAAATTTATTGTGATAAGTAAATAAATAGACTTTTACAATGAGTGCAGTTTAATTAGAACTATTTTTTAATAATCAATACAAAGAACAAATATTTATTAAAAGGAAATGAATTATAAATTTATAAAAAAAATTACGTTTACTATTTTATCCTTGATTTAATTAGAATCTCATAAGATTTTATTTTTTTAATATTAAAATAGTAAAATTAATTTTTTTATTAATTTTAAAATTTAAGATTTTTTTTAATAATAACTTTTTCATTACATCAATTAATAAAAATTTTTAGTAAAATCTTTTTTTTTTGTAATTTTTCTTAAAGTTTTGAAAACTAACTCTTTGGAAATTCATTTTTTGAAAATTATATAATTTTTCAGAAAGTAGTACTGTTAATTTAACTTGTTTAGTAGTATAATTATATTATATCCATATTATTGGTTTAATAAAAATGTTAAATATATTTATAAAATTTCATGTAGATATTATATGAATGTCATGCAATGAACAATAATCGACTAATCTTAGTTAATTTTTATGATTCAAGTGAAAAAAAAAGTGTTTAATTTATATAAAAAAATGCTGATAATATATATGCTGAACACATAGTTTGATGATATTTATAAAACTATACACATAGTTTGGTTTTTAAAATTTTAGCATATACGATGGAGCAAATTTGAGCTTTTAAGTGAAGTTATAAATTAAGACTTCTCTAAGAAGTATTAAAATTATGCATTTTTTAGTTTATGTTCGAAGAGCCTATTTACTATAAAAGTAAAAAATCATATGTTTGGCTTTCAAAATTTTAAAAATTTTAGCTTATGCATAGAGAGATTTTGAGCTTTTAAGAGAAGTTATAAATTAAAACTTTAAAAAAAAAATGCTAAATTTAATAACAAATATTTAATGAAATTTTTTTACATTTTCATTTTATTTTTCAATAATTTACAAAATGAGACTTATTATTTCATATTATTTTTTTATTTTGTTTTATTTTTCTATTGAATTGAATTGAATTTTATTATAATTAAAAAAATATTTTTTATTTAAAAACTTGTGATTTAACTTAAAAAGTTAAATATTTTATTTTTTTATTTATTAAAATATTTAAAAATATTACGGATACTTATATATTAAATTTGTCAAATAATATTTTAAATTTTTTTTATAGTGCTTTTAGAACAATGTTATTTTAATAACATTTTTTATAAAATCTCTAACCAGACCAAACAGATTGTAAATTAAACGTTCCCTATAGTTTTGGATATCTTTTTATATTGAAAAAATTATCTTAAAATGCAAAGTAAAGGAAGAGGGCGAACTAGAAAAACAAAGAAAGCATTGGAAGCCAAGAAGGGTTCTTTCGATTTGATACGTTCCCTTCTATCCAAAAAACAATTAATTTTCTTGTTACTTTCTTCTATGCATGTTAGTTGTAGGGGAGTGAATATTTTGGACTAGCCGCTTCAATTGGTTAATATTTGATTTGTTGTTGAAATTAGATTTTGTAATTGTTTTAGATATATTCAATTTCTTATACTTTGATGAATGGTTTTTTTTTTTTAAATTATAAATATAAGTTACAATTATAATAAAATATTATATATATTTATATATAATCATTGAATAATCAAACAAACAAGTTAATAGCTAAATTCGAATATAATTAGATAAATTTAATATAAAGTTGAAATTTATAGACAATAAAACTTGAGTTTAAAACCTTAGGATTTTACAAATTTTTTTAAATAAGTCAAGATCTCATTAACAATATTTAATGAACTTTAAATGAATGAAATAATATGGTAATTTTCTTAGGGACATTTCAATTGGCGAAATTTGAGATGGTTACTTTCGAAAGTTTTTATTCTAGTTTTGTGAGAAAAAAAGGGGTAATTGCTTTGGATGGGAATTAAGAAACGATACACCCTTGGACGTAGCGTGCACACGCAAAGAATAGTTTCTTTTCCATTTAAAAAATACTAAAAACATGTAGGTATCTTATTTTGAACATAAGTGAGCAAAATTTTTTTCCCATGAAGACTATAGTTGGGTTTCATTTCAATTTGGTAAACCTGATAATTTGTGTTTTCGTGTCATGTCTCATGTTGTATTTGACACGTGTAATAATATAAATTATTAAAATTCAAACACGACATGAATTATAAAACATATTTAAATATAAACACGAACATAATATGTTTGTTATATGTGTTATATGCGACATGATACGATTAATACGAATATATAAAAAAATACGATTAAAATAATAAATAACTATAAACTATTAATCGTTTACAACTTAATAAATTTGGTATATTAATGATATAAAAAAGTATTTGTATATTAAAAAGAATAAAAAAAATTGATACCCATATGTATTTAATATATATTTAAAATTTAATATATATTAGGTTTTTGGCCTGTGCTTCACACAATTAGTTTTTTAAAAATAAAAAATAAACTAAATTAAAAAAAACCAAAAAATTGAAATAACAATTATATTGAAGAAAAAATTATTATTAAAGACAAATAAAATCGTGAAACTTGTAAAAAAAATAAAACTGAAAAATTAGTAAAATTTATTTATATTCTTTATTTTTAAGATTTATTTTTAAACCATTAATTAATTTATGGAATATGAATAAATTGAAATTAATATAATAATGATTTGTAATTTTTCGTCTCTCTACTATTAATTAAACTTAAGTGATTAGTAGAATATGAAATTTTTTTTTTTAAATAAGGATAATTTATATTTCTTTTTCTTTTCAAAGATTTATTTAGACATGTGTAAAACTTTATTAGTCTTAAATAGTCTCATATCTTTTTATACAATTTATATTTGTTAATCCAACTATTGAATTTTGTACTCTATTTAAGTAAATCATGTATTGCCAAATTTCAAGTAAATTTAAAATATTTGTTAATCTATTTGTGTGATAATAATAAAATTTTAATCATTGGTGTATATTGAAAACGATATTACTCTTATTTGAAATGATAGGAATATTAAATTGACTTAAAATTTTACGTGAATGATAGGTACAAATAGGTTGTTAAATTCAATGGTCAATTTATAAAAATATTTATCATTTATAAAGTTATAAAAGAGTGTAAAACAAATTAATTTACAATTGTATAATTGGATCCCTCTATTTAAGTTAATATAATATTTTATGTAACTTTTCATATCTCTATCATTTTTCATAAATTCAACTATTAATAAAATATGAAAAGTTTTAAAAAATAAATTGATTATGAAAAGATTGAAATTAATATGATATTATTTACAAATTTTCTTTATCTTATAATTTTAATTAGTTTTGTTGGTAGAAAATAATGAATGTTTAAAAAGTTAATTTTTATATTTTTCTCTCTTTTTTATTTTAAAATCATTAATTACTAAAATACAAAAACATAAAAAAAATAATATTCTATCATTTCAAATTATACTTTTTATTTCAAATAAATAATGAATTAAAGTCATATTTGGCTTATAGGACAACGGTTAAGATAGAATGATTATCGTTTTTTTTTTTTGGCAAAAGATGATTTAATTATTCCAAAACGAAGAGGATTATTTTAATTCATTAGATTGAAGTCACAAGTTCTATTATACCTTTACAAATGATATCAATAATTTAAATTATATATATTTTAAGGAAAAATAATTTTAACCAATAAATAAATTATCTTATCTTAATTTTTACACACATCAAACATAAGATAGGATGATATTATTTAATTTAATC